TTATGGATATGTTTCTGATTACCTGTTTTCTTATATGCATGCATGATTGTATTGTGATGATGTAAACAGGTACCGTCTTGAATCAAGATATTATGTTTGACCAATTTTGTACTTCCCACTTACTGGTCATATTAAGGAGAAGACTAATTTTGTAGTACATAGAAGGAAATATGTCGATTAAAGTGATGTACAATCGCCATGACTCAAATTAGTTCTTATTCTTAATTATGATTTATGATGTACTCAATGTATGGGATGATTTGGTCATGATAATGCGCATTATGATGATTTAATCTTATTTATTAGATCACGATGTTGGATAATGTCACATGAGCCAAGTGGGAGAATGTAAGACTTTCAGTGTCTCATGTGAGGAGCATGTGACTTATCTGTGGTTTAATAAATAATTAAATTATTAAGGACTAAATTATAATTGAGTAATGGGAAGCAGTTTCAAATTTAAATAAACTGTTTATTGATGAGGTTAGCAGTTGTAACGATTCACCTAAATTAAAGGAACGTGAAACAGGTCCTTCTCGTGACCGAAAAAATATTTTGTCCTCTTTTCACCATCAATAACGAAGAGAAAATAGAAGCGTAGGCCAAGGAGGTAGAAATCAGTTTTCTCTCTCTCATCAAGGAAATTCAATCGTTGAATCAATTCTGTTAATCATTAATGAACAAAGGTTAGTCATCTTCCAATCATGTGATATGTGAGAATCCTAAATTTCAAGATCGAATGATAATTTTCTACCATTAACATTGAAGAAACTTACATGACCACACATTGTCTTCTCCATCTCTTCACCAAGAACAACCTCCTCCTCGCCGTTCCACAAGGCCCAGTCGTGTGCCTTCATACCTTGACAGTTACTAATATAATCTGCCTTCACAACACGCAAAGAAGCAATCATCTTCAATCTGTTTTCATCCCATTCGATCATCCCTCGCCTATGATAAAATTTCTCCTTCTCACCGCAACTACATCATGGCCCTATCATCTGAGATAGAAGCTCGCAACTACCACAAAGCCGTCTAACATGCGCATTGGAGAGAAGCCATGGGTTACGAAATTAAGGCTTTGACGATCTAGGACATTGTCTCTATTCCTCCTCACATACGACCATTGGTTGCAAATGGGTATACAAAATCAAGCGTCTGCTGGATGGAAGTGTTGATCGATACAAGGCCCGCCTTGTTGCAAAAGAGTTTTCTCAAATCAAAGGAATTGATTATTTCGAAACCTTCTTCCCTGTTGTTAAAATGACGACAATTCGAGCTATCCTTGCCATAGCTTCAATCAATCACTGACATTTGCATCAGCTCGACAATAGTAACACCTTTCTTCATGGTGAGCTTTCGGAAGACGTTTATATGATGATCCCACCAGGAGTCAGAGGTAATAGCTCTTCTCAATGCCGTAAATTGCGCAAATCCTTGTATGGTTTGAAGTAGGCGAGTCACAAATGTTACAAAAAAATCTATAGTCTGTTGCTATATGATGTCTTATTGTTACAAGCATGCTCATGTGGATCATAGCCTGTTCATTAAGTTTGATAATTCTGATGTCACTGTATTGATAGTTTATGTCGACGACATTGTTTTGACTGTCAACAATGTTAGAGAAATCAATAGAATTAAGCAAATTCTTCATTCAAACTTTCACATTAAGAACTTAGGGAGTTTGAAATATTTTCTTAGAATTGAGGTTGCCCATTTTACCCAAGGAATACCTTATATTGTCTTGATCTCCTCAAGGACATAGGGATGCTTGGTTGCAAACCCTCTTCCACACCTATGGACAGCTCCACTCGATTACATGTTGATTCTTCTTCTTTGCTCACTAACCCTCTAGCTTATAGGAGGCTTGTAGGGCATCTAATCTACCTAACAAGCACGCTTTCAGACATTGCTTTTGCTACACAACATTTGAGCCAATTTATGTACAATCTGACACAAGCACCATGATGCAGCTATAAGAGTTCTTCGCTATCTCAAAGGTTGTCGTGTTAAATGGTTATTTTTCCTAAGAAATTATAACGCTCAGGTTTGTGGCTTTAGTGACGCAGTTTGGACAACCTGTGTTGACACAAGGCGTTTAATTATCAGTTATTGCTTTTTTATTGGTCACTTTCTTGTCTCATAGAAAGCGAAAAAGCAAGACACTATCTATCGTTTCTCTGCAGGAGCCCTTGCTTCAACTGCTTGTGAATTACAATGATTTACATATGTTTTTAGTCCATCCTTTATTGTATATAGCAGCATATCCTATATTTCACGAAAGGCTATATTTCACGAAAGGATGAAACACTTGGACATCAACTGCCATCTTGTTTATGAAAAATGCCTAGCTGGCCTCATGAAGCTGCTTCCAGTTCACTCATCCAATCAGGTGGCTAACATCTTCACCAACGCCCTAGCACCTCAACTCTTTCAAATTAATCTTTCAAAGTTGTAACTACTCGACATCTTCTTACCTCTAGCTTGTGGGGCTAACAAAAAACAACATGATTCAAGCTTAACCACACCTTATCAATGATATAATTCCAGAATTTCTTTCTTTCTTTTTCTGTTTTCTAAATTGTATAGCTTCTAGAATTAGTGAGCTGTATATAGTACACATATATTACAGGAATATGCTCTCCTTTTATTTTTATCTCTTCTTATCCTCATTGTCCTTTTCCTAGATTAGTCATTCTATATATTGTAATCATTTGATCACAGATATATGAGAAAGGTTATATCTTTATTCCTTTTCTATTATGTCAAGATCATTTCAAATTGTATCTTGAGTTGTCTGAAATTGACTCATCATTTTTTGTAATTTTAAAAATTTAATATGCTATTAAATAATTACGTGTTAATAATCAAAATTTAAGACTTAAAAATAATGATACTATATTTATACTATTTATTTTAAAATATATATTATACACTATACTTTAATTTTATACTTTACTAAAATTTTATAATTTAACTGTACATAAAGTTAATTCATACTGAAATTCTGGACTTAAATTAGATTGACATAGTCCTTCTCTGTTATTATTCGACAACATTTAGGTCTTAACAAAATTGATTCTACTAAATTTTTTATTCAAGTAAAGATAGAAAAAAAAAAAACTCATCTCGGTCACTTCATGTAAAATAAAAACTTATCTTAATTATTTTTATAAATTTTACATTAAAATGTTTTAATATGATTTTATGAACTTTTCAAACATGCATGAATTTAAATTTTTTTCTTTTCCACTTGACTGTGAATTCGGCTGATCATTTCATTTAAAAGATTGATATAAAAATATCATTAATCTTGGTAGCGAAAGAGTTTTGCTTAAATTATACAAGTTTTTATATATGTTGAATTGTTTAATTTTCTCAATCTCTTTTAAATATCTCTAAAGTGACGTTAGAATTAGAGCTAATGAATTATAAAACATTGAGATGTCATATCTAATTAAAAGAATTAGAACTAGTTACAAGAAATTCATCCCTCTCAACTAAGATTTTATTTAAATACTATTTCTTTATTTTTATGAGATGACTGATAGACTTTTACATATTAGAATTCTATATAATAAAATTTTTTTCTCTTCTTTTTTTATATATTTTTATTTTATTACTTTACAACTCATAATCATATTTATTTTTTTATTTTTTATGCAATATTTAAGTTGATATAATTATATCATCTCCTATATCATATTTTTAACTTAAAAAATCAATCGTTTATTTTTTACTCGTCTATATTTTGAATACAAAGAAAACAAATACATGGGAAAAAGCATTGAATTTAAATAAAGTTGGTTAAATTTTAAGATTATGCTCATTTATAAGTCGTCATAATATAACTTGTATATTACAAAAAAAAAAACATTTTTAAAATTTTTGGAAAAAAATGTATTTAAAGTTTTATTTTTTCTATTTTATTTCTAAAAAATCACTCATACAGATTGTATATAAAAACCATGAACAAGAAATAAGAGCTACACTTTTGAAAATCAACCCAGAAAAAAAATTGTATCTATAATCGAAAAGATACCCAAACTTCAAAAATTGAAAGAATATAAAGATTAAGTTATCTTAAATGTTTAAGTTATAAATTTTACATTAAAACACATTTTGATTTTATGAACTTTTCAAACATGCATGGATTTGATCTCTTTCATTTGAAAGAGTAAGACTATTTTGAGTTGATGATATCAAATAACAATAAATTTAATAATATTTATCTCCATATTATTTATATTTTATTTTTCTTAAATTTTTTATAAAAAGTTTAAAATTTAATCCCATTAATATAAAATAAATTTTGATGATGTCAAATAGTATCAATATATATATATAGTAAAAAAAATTTACACCAGTATAAATTTAAAAATTCTTACTTCCAATTTGAGCCTTTTATTTAATTTAAATCTAACACAAGCTATTAAATTTCTCTAAAAAGATTATATATATATATAGAATATGACTTAATCTACAGCAACAATGTACTAGTTTAATAAGATATTTTAAAATATCATTGCTGCCTACAAGTTTTCAAACTTTTTTATATATTTTGAAATGTTTAATTCTGTGAGCTATGAAACATTTATCTCTTTCTCAGTAATTTACTTTTTATTCATATTTTATATTTTGGATACCTTTTGAAAAGTATTAAAAAAAAAAAAACATGAAAAACGTTAAGTTTAAATAAAATTGTTTAAATTTCAAGAGTTGGAAAGTATTGAATAAGAAAATAATTGTGAAAAAAGCGAAAAACTTTATGTTTATATGTTTAAATAAAGTCGGTTAAATTTCAAGACTGCTCTCACGTGTAAGTAAAGTTATGTATAACTTGTATATTAAAAATATTTTTTTTTTGAAATTTTTATAAAAAAAAAGAATAATTTAGAGTTTTATATTTTTTTTTATATATAGATTATTTGAAAGAATCATGTGTCAAGATATGGTGCAAGAGTAAAAAAACAAATAATAGGACGTTTAAAAATCAACAACTAAACATCAACATCCACAACAAAAAACTAAAAAGACAAAAAAAAAATGAATATAAAAACATGCTGCCAAATTGAAAGAGTAAAAAACAAATAACATAAAGACAAGTTTGCACGTTTAAAAATCAACAACCACAACAAAAAAAAATGTATCTACGGCTAAAACAACAACAAAAAATGTATCTATAACTTAAAAGAAAGACGATAACAAGAACACGTATAACAACAAAAATATATATATCTATAACCAAAAAGCTGTGACTAAGAAGATGCATGACTTCTAAGAAGATGCATGACTTGTGTCGATTGGCACCAGTTTCAATCATCAACTACTTCTGTGCACCTTCATTGTTACAATCCTTACAATTCAGTGTGAAGTCTCATTCTCATCGTACACTTACAATCCCTACATTTACGAAAGAAAACAACCTACGAATGAAGATGTAACTCTCAATGAAAGTAACCCTTCACTCAAAACAGATTTAATGAGTGAAGAGATTTAATGTGTGCAAAATATATATAAATAAATACAAAAAATACACTTTTTAACATATTATTAATTATTATATTAAAAATAAGAATTGTTAAATTAAGAGTAAAATTTACATTTTTATTTTATTTTTTAAAAAATTTTAGTCAATTATTCTAGAATGTGTCAAGAAACTAGGTTAGAAAGTGCATTCTTTGAATAAAATAAAACATTTTTACCAGTGACGTTGCTTTAGTCAATTTACGATGCTTCCATTTGTCAACCCAAGCAAGTAGTTTTTGGCCATAGAGGTTGCTTTGCATCAAAGCATAGTGATCTTCAACAAGTTGAAGTAAGGCATTCCGAATGGCACCCTATATTGAATTGAAAGAGACAGAGTTATTTGCTGGATACAGAGAGTTCGATATACAGAATGACTAAGGAACGCATCATTTATACACAGCACATCCAACCCATATTATTTCATATTATCTCAATGCAACTAAAAAAATTAAACATAAGAAATCTGGCTATCATGCAGTGAATTGATTTGCTTATTTATTTATTCGTAATTCCTCCCTCCACGTAACTTACTTAATCAAACCAGTGGTAACAGTCAGATTAAAGATCTAAAAATCTTGATTAATGCACATACTTAGAATTGGAAAAAAGTTCTAACCTTGGAGACATGGAGTGCTGACTTAATGACATAATTTCCATATGGGTCCACTAGTAGAATTGAAACATTTGGATCGCAGAGCAACTCCACCACAATACGTTTAGAATGCTCTTCTCCAGCCACTTGCAAGAACTTCTCCACAACATTGCTGCCATATTTATTGTAAGACAGTGTAAAAAAATTATTTTCAAGCTGTCTCATTAGTCCTTCTATAACTCTAGGTATTTTCTGAGTCACTAGATGTTGCACCACGTAGTTGCTGCCAAACAAGGAAACAAAACATGGAAGAGATAAGAGATAAGAGTAAGGGAACTGTAGACTAGTGACGGAAACAGTAGAAGAACAAACAAACCCGTAACAGTTTTCTGCTAAAAGGAAAGCATTTAAAATGATCTCGGCCATTAACCGCTCTTTGGATTCGCCGTGAACACGCTCAACACAACGCTGCATTACACAACATCCGTTCTTGTCCGTTGCAATGTCAACACAGTTGTTTGCCATGATGTTCAGAATATACTGTAACAAAAATTTATAGATGAATTATTGAAGCACGGAGAACCAAAACAACATGACACACCAAACATGTTCCAATAAGATTTTACAGTTTTTTTTATTTCTAATTTCCTTAAACAATCATAGTGATGAATATTTTACAAATGCTTCATGTTATTTCAGCAGAACTAACTCCAAAAACAACTAAGAAATTTGGAGCTAAACAAAAAGAATGAGCCATCTCATCTACGGACCACACCTCACAATTAGCAATGAGCCATCCTTCTCATGCAGCACCATATATTCTAAGTTTTTTAGAAGAAGTTTGAAAAAAAAAAAAAAAAGGTGAAATAAGAAGCCTGTCTTAGAATGAAGATCAGTTCTACATTCTACATATTGACCTCAAGGCATCACCACCAGCTACACATATAATTCATCCTATGGAAGGGAAAACCTGGGTGGAATGAAAATGAATATTAAAACAGCAAAAGCAGAATGTTCAATGATATTTCCAATTTGCATCCCTAATTACTAGGTTCTATACATGTTATAAAATTAACTTAATAAAAATAAATTCCACATTAAAACTCAACTCTTTGAAGAACTCTACTTAAATATCCAAAAAAAAAACAACAGAGAAACAGAATTCATAAATTTAAAAAAAAAAAAAAAAAAAAAAAAAAAAAAAAAACCTTGTTATCTTCAAGTGAGAAATGTTTTAGACAATTCTCAATGACATGAAGACCGTTCGTATCCTTAGTCAATGCAACAACACCGGGGTACAACGCTAGCATGATAAGATTTCGTTGTTCTTGGGTGGTCACATGTTCAAATAATTTCTGCACAGCCCGGGTCCTGTCACGAGAAAACAAAACCCACCACTCCACAAATCAGAAGCAGAAAAAGAGATGATAAATAAATAAACAAAATAAAAACATAGCAATACCCATGAGCATCCAAACAGATATTGACAAGCTGAAAATTAGTCTTGGTCAGCATCAAAATTATGTGAGTCCTCTGTTCTTCAGTGCATATTTCCACGAGTTTCTGAAAAACATAATTCCCGGACGAGTCCAACATCAACTCAATCACGTGATCTATCAGTTCTAGAAAAACCAAAGAAACCTCTTCCTGAGATTTCAAGCTTTTCATCGTTTCTTGCAAAACCCGACACCCCAATTGATCCTTAGCTAACAACAAAATCTTTCCCTGAAAATCATAAACAGAATGCTGAGTCAAAGGATTCTGCAACAAACGGTAACGCCAACTATTGACATTATCCAGCGTGTTACTCAATAACCCAGTACTCATTGAGCTACTACGAGATCCTTGGAAACTGAGACTAAACTGATCATCGTTTGACAATGGCAACCTTAAAAAATTGTTCTGAGATTCTTCTTTCAAAAAAGTGTTATAAGCCTGTGATCGCAAGTTGTGATAGCCACCGTTATATCGATCAGTATCATTATTATACCCCACATAGCAATTATGCCATGTCGTTGCCAAAACAGGTGTATTATCGCCTCCACTGTACCTACCATTACCAAAACTATGCATTTGGCCAATTCTGGAACAATGATAATTAGAAGGGTATGTTTCTTGCCCCTGAAAAGTGAAAGGTTTTGTGGTGTCAATGTGACTCGATCCTTCGCCAACGAAACCCAACGTTGAGTGATTGTTAGGCATCACAGAGAGACGAGAGAAAGCGTCTTCTAGGGTTTGATTCGTGAGAATTGGGTTTTGATAACGATTCTGAGACGTCTCTCCATCTCCAGGACAACGTTGTCGTTGGAACGACCAAAGCAACGAGGTACTATAATCGTTTTCCACGAAACATGGGTTTCTGCTTGACGACATGTCGTCCTCAAAACAGTGGCTACGGCGCAGCGACAGTCAAGGCTATTGGAAGATAAAGGCTTAGACTTCTGACTCAGATAGGAGGATTTTAAGGTTGTTACGGCGACAGTCAAAGGATTGGAATACGAGGGTTTTAGACTTCTGGGTCAGATATGAGGATTTTAAAAGGAAGTTGTGATTTTCTGTTTGTTTTCTGTTGACTTTTTTTAGTAATGATTAATAATATTAAAAAAAGATAAGAGAATTAACGGTGAAATTAAAACGGGTGGGTACAAACAGGAAAGAAGATAGTTGCAGAGGAAGTGAAAGGAAAAGAGGTTATTATTGAGATTAGATTCTGCTCTGCATGCAATACATGTCAAATTTTACGTGCGGGAACTCGAAGATGGACTCTTCTTTGACCACTTTATCAAGTGATTTTAAACCAAAAATAATATAATATAAAATATTATATGTTCTTGTTTTTATTATTTATCATATATATATGAAATTTTTGTCTATTTAATATATTATTAAATTGATATATTTAAAAAAAAGTTTAATGTATACATTTGCATATTTCTTTTTATAAATATAGCAATTTTTTATAAAATTTTTAAAAGTAAATATTTTATATTTAATAATATAATTTTCTTATGTTAAATAAAATAAAATTAAAAAATGTAAATTAAGAAACAACATATAAAAATTTTAAATTTAAATAAAATTAAATAAAATATTAAATATATACAAAGGAAATACATAGAAGACACAACTTTTAAAATCGTTTTTATTTAATTTTTTGAAATGCCAATTTTAAAATAAGAATTTATATTTAATACATATCACGATTTTTATAAAGATGATAAATAAAGGTTAAAAAAGAAAAATATTCCTTAATTAAGTAACAAGTGTTAAATGAATATATATATATATATATATATATATAATTAAATTATATAATGATATTTTATAATTTATTAAAAATCATGTATTTTTAAAATTAAAATGAAAAAAATCTACAAAAATTTAAAAAATGATTTAATCATCTAATTTTATTTTATTTTTATTAAAAGTTTGTCTTTTAACTTTTTTTAATAAATTTAATTATTTAACTTCTATTTTCAATCTCAAATCTGTTACATAATCATGACATCTCAAAAACTAAAACTTTTTCAATAATTATTAAAATTGATTAAAGAGTTTTCTATAATTATTATACTATGACCAATATATAAAAATTTTAGTCATTTTATCAGCTAAAATAAAATGTTAAAGCACGGAAGTTGATCATAACTTTATTAAACTTCATTTTTGAACACCAACTTTTTTTATACTGATTGTTGAAATTAGTAAAAAAAAAAAAAAAGATTGGATCAGTATTAACTTAGGTTAAATTTGATACCCCACAACTGCATTGTCTTTTTAATCTTTCTTTCAATTTTATTTTCATCATTTGTCCTGGAATCAAACTCACATTCGCAATCTTCTTCATCAAGATTGTATATCCTTGACACTCTTATCTCGTCGCGAACCAACCTTAATGTCTTTTTCTCTCCATTGTTAAGTTTACTTCTTTGTTAATAATAACTAGGTCAACTGTAATTAGCTGTTTACATGGCATCAGAATCCAATGAAATATGTTTGAATACATTTTCCAAACTCTATTTAAAATCAATTGGAAATTAACTTCATGACCCAAGTTCTTAACTAACCAAGCAACCCCAAGATACGACCATTTGTTTATGCCAACTTCCGAGTTCTGAATTGTATACATATTTTTTAGTAACTTTTCACTAACTCTCTTATACCATGAATCACTTCTTATAAGTACAGTTAAATATAAATTAACAATCATTTAATATGAAATATTTTAATTTTAAAAATTAATTTAATTATATGGCAAAATTAATGCTACATAAAATTTTATAGCAATAATTTAATAGAAGGGATTAAATAAGAATTATTTATAAGAAATAAGTGATGATAAAAAATTACAAAAGACCAAAAATAAAATTGAAAAATTCGGCATGAAAGAAAGATATGTTTAAGTAAAAAAAAAAAAAACATTAGAATCAAGTTCGTTTCACGTTGCTAAAAAAACAGACTATAACAATAACATTGATTTTTTAAAATTTATTTTATTATTAGATATAAATTGCACATGAAATACACAGTTTTTTAAATATGAGTATAACCTATAATAAAATCATAAATTTTAATAAAAGGTTATAAACTTATAATATACCGCTGTATGTGTGTTGTGGTTTTTTTTACTTACAATTCAAAATATTATGAGAAAAAAATTATATAATAAAATACGTGTAAAAAATTTATGTACTTTGTATGAATAAGTGAAATTTTAGTTATAATTTATGTTATAAAAATATGAATCTAATTAATTCTTTTGGACTTGGAAATACGTATCTAACTGTAATGATTCACTAAAGATATAACCTCTTTCAAGGATAAAGTGATAAAAAAAATTGTTAGTTGTTGCTGAATTAAGATGGAAAATCCCCGCAACTTATTCTCGTGATGGTAGGGAAAACAAATTATAAAACTCACGAGAATAGGTTAATTATTTTGGTAAATTCTACAATACTAGCAAATGAGGGAGTATTCTATGTTTTGATTGAATATGTTAAATAATTATAATTATTAATTTTAATGATAGAATTAGTAGTGTATTTAAAAAAGACATAAATATTCTTTAATATCTCAGTATAATCTAAAAAAATATTAAATACACTTTCAAGTTTAAAAGCACTGTAATAAATACTATTTATTTTTAGGGTAAAAAACACATTAATTTTAAAAAAATTAAAGTGTTTTCTTTCCTATTTGCTTACGTGATAAGATGAAATAGAAAAAAAAGATAAAAAATAAAGTAAAGTTATAATAAATATATATTATTTGGATGAATATAAAAAAACAGAAAGAAAGAAATATATTGTATTAAAATTATTTTTATAATAATGATAAATTTATTTTAATAAATAATTTAAACTTTGAATATAACATTTTTATTATGTTTATAATTTTTTATTATTTTAAAAATTATTAAGAATTGAAATTAAATTTTCAAATTCATGTTATCATTTATTTCACGTCACTTTTCAGATAAAAATAACTTATTGGGATTTATGTTTTTCCTTTTTTATTTGTTAAAAAATAAAAAAAATTCAGATTTAAAGAAAATAAATATCTCTACACAAATAACTTTTTTTACAAAATAAAATTAAGACATCCAATGGTGTAAGTAAAATTTTATATTAAATATCTTTAATTAACAATTGAAAAATTAATCTATAGAAAAAAAATGAAAAGTAAGAAAGAAGAAGGAAAAGATCTGTTTTATAGACAATTTTTTTTTTGTTTATAAATACGTTAATAAAATGTAGTGTTTTAAAACTTGAATTATATATAAATTTTTTCTTATGTAACTCTATTAAATGCAGTTACACATAAAAAAATCTATCTGCAACAAGTATAAAATGTCAGAAATATATTTTAAAAATATAGATATATTTTTTCTTTAATATTTATTGCCATAGTTTTAAATTATAAATGCAAAAATTTATCTTTAATTTCTACTTGTAATGTTACGTATCAAATAGTGTATAGACGAATTTTATAGACAATTTTTTTTATGTTTGTATTATAGACAAATTTTCTTAAAATATTTTGAAAAAATCTATCATTTTGATTTACTGTTTATAAACTAAAAAAAATCGGTCTATAAATTCTGTGTGTAATTTGTATGTTTCTAATAGTGATAAATTATATAGATAATTATGTCTAGAACAATCATTTATTCCATTTGAAAATAGACTGTCACGATGTTTTCAATTATTACTTTGTCCCTGTATGTTTATAAAATAGTGAACTAAACTTACCCTTTTAATATTTTTTAATTAACACTCAACCTATATTACACTTCACTCCAACTTCTCAGACACAACTATGCATTTGTTTAACCACAACTCAGCTCCACTATAAATTATCAACTAAGTATTTCATTGTGCCGACCAACCAGAGAAGTGTAGCACAACAAATTCTACGAGTTTATCTTATCTATAAACACCATGTTTCCATTATCATATCTAGAACAATACAGTAAAAAATAAGAAAGTTAAGTAACATCACGTTTTGACAAATTCATCGTCCACTTGTAGTCAAAGGATGGATGACTATAATTTAATCACCCTTTCAATTATATATATATATATATATATATTGAAAACAATCTCTAAAACAGAGTGTAATTTTATTCATCTTAAATTTTTATATTTCTCTTATGCACTCGCCTTTTAAACCTAAGTTTAATCATAATTTTAGTTTTTATTTCTAACTTGAGACAACAATCACTTGTAATTATTCAAATTTTTATGTTGAGTGCTATATAGATAACTTTTGCTATTATCTTACTATATCCACCAATCTTAAAGAATATTAAGCTACGAAATTGTTATACTTGGACATTTTTCCTTAATATGCATTAAAATAATTATGATGCAAATATAATCAATATTCCATGTTATATGCAACTAAAACATTATATTATCAAATACATGGATACAATTTAAATTAGTACATACTATATGACACATAGCCAGGAATCATACTTAGATAAATGAGTTTCTCATTCTCAATTCATAACAAAACCACTTTTTATAATTTAAAATATAATTTTGAAAGTTTATATATTGAGTAAACCGAAAAATTAGTCCATCAAATTGTAATAACAGTGTATATTAATCTTTTACTTATTTAAATTGTTTCGTTAATATTTCACCTAGGAAGTTGTTAGGTCATTGTCATTACCAAATGCATGAAAAAATGTTAACTTTTATTATTAAGTGACGCGTATGTGATAAAATGATTTCATTTTATTTAATAAAATTAACTAAATTAACTAATTTTGTATTATCACCACTACTCTTGCCTATGACATTTTCTCCCCTCACCCCCAACATTTTCAATCGCCCACCACCTCTTCTCTTTATCTTTTTATCAAA